ATCAGGCTCACATATTTTTGCTGAAACAGTTTTTTGTTGTTCAAAATAAAGTAATTGAGAGAGTGACCTATAATATTAGGAATTTTGGAAATATCTGAATATAAAGTGATTTTCTCTTTTCAGAGGGATAAATGTTTTGGTGGTGGAAATGAGCTTTATATTTGAGCATGTACAGTAACACTTAAAAGATATCAAGTAGTCCTATGTTGAATGATGTTTTAATAACAAAAAGGATTTGAATAGTATGTCATCAATAATATTTTTATTTAAAGAAGAGGGCTTAATTATCTAGAATATATGGTAATATATGCTACTAACACCTTTACTACTGGCATTGGACTATTTCATAGTAAAATTTAAAACGCCCTTCTTCTCTGCCATTCCTTTATTCATCTAAGATTATAATTAAAATTTTATCCTATTTGATTAATTGCTATTACATAACTTTGATGTCAAAGTAAATATTGCACAAAAAATTAGTAAAATGTTGCAACATAAATATTGCATAAAAAATATTTCAATTAATTATTGAAATAATGAGTTTTGTTAAGAATATTAGTTTGTTTTTTTTTTGCAGAAAAATAAAAAAAGAACCATACCTCACTCCATACATAAAAATTCCAGATGGATCAAAGACTTAAATATAAAACCTAAAATTAGGAAGTTCATAAAAAAAAGTAATAGGGGCAGACTTAGGAGGCCTAATTTATGGCATAACCCAAAATGCACAAACAGCAGAAAATAAACTAGATGATTGGGACTTTCTAAAAATTAAATTTTTATGTGCATAAAAAGACTTCAAACGAATAAAAAGAAAACCTGCAGATTGGGAAATAATATTCAGCAACAACATATCTGGCAAGGGATTTACTTCTAAAGTTTATAGAATACTCCAACTCATCAACATCAAAAAGATAAACAATCCAGTTAAAAAATGAGCAGAATGCATGAACAAACACTTCACCAAAAAAGATAATTCAGGCAGCCAACAAACACATGAAGAAATGGTCATTAGAGAGATGCAAAAAAAAAAAAAAAAAACAGTGACCATTTCACCCCAGAACTAATAGCAAAGTTCATCAAGACTGAAAATAACAGACAGTGGTGAGGATGTGGAGAGATTGGGACTCTCATAAACTGTTGGTGGGACGGCAAAATGATATAACCTCTGTGGAAATCAATATGGCAAATCCTTAAAAAGTTGAAAATTTTAGAAATACCATTTGATCTAGCAATCCCATTACTAGATATATATCCTTAAGAAGTGAGAGCCAGGACACGAATAGATGATATATGCACACCCATATTCATCACAGCACTACTCACAATAGCGAAGAGATGGGAATAACTTAATGTCCCATTAACAGAGGAATGGATAACCAAACTATGGTATCTACACAATGGAACACTATGTAACATCAAAGAATAAAGTGGAATGCATGAAACACTTCATAACATGGACAAACGTGGAGGACATTATGCTGAGTGAAATAAATCAATAAAGAAGGAAAAATATTAGTCTGCTATTATAAAAAGTCAAGGGAAGGTTTACATATGGAAGGAAACTTTCTTTGTTGGTTACCAGGGGTAAGAGGGGAGGGTAGGGGAGGGAAACTTACTAGATAGATAACAGACAAATATTGGTTGGGGGGAAGGGAAGGGCAGTATACCAATAGTGAGTGATTAACACAATAACAATAAGGAAAAGGAAGACACAGATAGGTATACAAGAGGTACAAACAACAAAGATAAACACTTTTTTGAATCACTTTTTCAGTGATTTAAAAGCTGCATGTGCCCCAAGTGAAAGTGATTGTGATGGAGAATTTGTTGAGAGAAGAGGTTGATTCAGTAATTTCAAAGTGAGGGCAAATTGAACATTGAAGGGCAGGTTATCCATAAGTTCATAACTTGGTGACTGCCTTCATTTCTTCTATTCATGTCCTGAATAGATATTGAATGATTTATTCATTCATTCAAGGATATTAGTTAAATGCCTGTATGCCAGGTACTGATACAGGCGGTAAAAACATGTCAGGGAATAAAATGGTCCCTGCCCTCCTGGAGTTTTTATTTAAATGGGAAGAAACAAACAATAAGCACATAAATGATGAAATACCTGGTATGTCAGATTATAAGTGATATGCTGTTTTTGTTGTTAGCTGTCATGGAGTCGATTTTGACTCACAGCAACCCCATGTGAGAATAGAACTACCCAGAGGGTTTTCTAAGAACTAGAACTTTAGCCAGGTCTTTTCTCCTATTCAGAGAGCGGGTTTGAACTATCAAACTTTTGGTTAGAGTAGCCAAGCCCTTAACTATTGTACCACCAGGGCTCCTTATAACAAGTGATATGGGAAGCAATAAAAGAGGTAATGCAAAAAAAAAAAAAAAAAAAAGATAAACCTTTTACGTACACAATACTGCATTATCAGTAGTAACAAACATTAATGTATAGGTGGATACATAGGTAGACAGGCTGAATGATCAGGTATGTGTAGGCAAAAGGGAATATACCCATGACCATATACAAGTTTGGCAGATGATATTTCTATATACGTATTTGTATGTGCTAAAATGTATAAGAATATCCATATAAATAGAGCTAAAGGGGCAAAGTACTGATAACTTCTCAGCTACAGCCAACCACCCGAGGGCGCAAGTTGTTGGACCTGTGGGCTTGGAACCTTGGTCACGGGGGACATCAAGCTCATTTGGCATAACATATTATACAGAAATATTGTTCTATATGCTTTGGTGAGTATCAACTGGGGTCTCAAAAGCTTACAAGCAGCCATCTAGATGCAACAGTTGGTCTCTCCTCATCCGGAGCATCCACTTTGAGAAGCCACTAGAATTACACCTACCAGAATGGCTAATAAAAAAGATAGGTACCAAGTGTTGGTGAGGATATGGAGAACTGAAACCCTCCTGCACTGCTCACGTGAATATAAAATAGTACAGCCTCTTTGGAAAGCAGTTTAGCAGTTTCTTAAAAAGTAAAACATAAATTTACTATATGACCCAACAATTCCACTCCTGGGAATCTACCCAAGAAAAATGGAAACATATTTCCACACAAAGAAATGTACACAAATGAATTTTCATAGCAGTATCATTCATAGCCCAAAACTGGAAATAATCTAAATGTCTGTTCAACTGGCAATTAGATAAACAAAATGGGATAAATTCATGCAGTGGAACACTGTTGTTGTTATGTGCCATAGAGTCAGACCTGACTCATAGCGACCCCTCCTTGGGTTTCCAAGGCAGCATCACTACAGAAGTAGATTGCCCAACCCTTCTGAAGTGGAACACTAGTTAACAATAAAGAAGAATATCTTACTGACATTTACTACAACATGCAAAAACCTCAGAAACACTGTAGTAAGTGAAAGAATTCAGGTACAGAACACTACATATTATATGATTCCATTTACATGAAATGTCCAGAAAAGGCAAATTCGTAGAGAGAGAAAACAGATGATAGGACTGGGGTGAGAACATTTATTAATTGTAACCAGGCATGAGAGATCTCTGTTTGGGTTGATAGGAATGTTCTAAAATTAGATTGTGGTGGTGGTTGCCCAACTCTGTAAATTTACTGCAAACTATTGAACTGTACAGCATAGTGTCTAAGGCACTTGACTGCTAACCAGAAGGCTGGCAGTTCAAACCCACCAGCCACTCATCGGAAGGAAGGTTGGAGAATCTACTTCCATGGTGACACCACCTCGGAAACTCAAAGAGGGGTTGCTTTAAGTCGGGTCTGACACGACGGCACATGACAACAACAACAACATTGAACTGTACATTTAAAGTGGGAAAATTTTATGGTGTGTAATAAATACTTCAACCAAAAAAAAAAACCAAACTCACTGCTGTTGAGTCAGTTCTGACTCATAGTGACCCCTCCTTGGGTTTCTTAGGTGGTATCTCTGTGGAAGTAGATGGCCCAGTCTTCCTTCCGACGATGATAGGACTGGGGTGAGAACATTTATTAATTGTATGTGGATTTGAACCACCAGCCTTTTGATTAGCAGTCAAATGCCTTAGGTACTACACCACCAGAACTCCCAAATACCTCAATAAAGCCTTTTTTAATTATAAAAAAGGGAATTTTCTTGCTTTATTTGCCTTTTATGCTTAAATTTGGAGGGATCTACTAAACCCTGATGCGATGAGGATTTATTTGATACACTGTCACATAAACTCTGTGACTTATGTATTTAACCTTATCTAATAAGAATAAGAATTTTTAAAGAAACTCCTATTTATATGCATTCTTTTATCCCAGATGCACTCTTCCAGTATCACTTTGTTTCCCAGTTCTTTTTTTATTGGTTTTCATTTTATTCTCAGGTGAAGTTTCACTGTTAATTCTATGTTAGTGGTCTTGTCTCTGACAGATGTTTTTCCTGGATGATACTAACTTTTAGAAACCACAAAATGGAATTACTGGTCAGATAGACTGGTGAAACCCCTGAGACTATGGCCCGAGGTTACCCTTTGGGCCTGGAATTGGACTCTCTCCCATGGGTTAGCTCTCAACCAAAAAGTAGAAAGGCCTGTAAGCTGAACACCTACCCCCAGAACAGTCAACTGTGAGAGATCAGAAGGGCAGTATTTGCGTAGGGGGCCGCTAGACAGACAGGAATGCACAGATAAGGACACAGGGAAGGGGAGGAAGCAGGAAGAGAGCTGTTACTTGTTGGGAATGTAATCCATGTTAATGAATGTGTATAAACTGTTGAATGTGAAATGAATTTGCATTGTAAAATTGCACTCAGATCACAATAAGAAACATTAAAAATATGAAATAAATTTAAAAAAAGGAAAAGGAGTTAGAGTTTGAAAAAAAAATGAGAAACCACAGAATGAAACAATTTTTATGTACTTTGATGTCTTTTTTGACACATTTTCCCAATGAAAAATATGAAGTCTTATTTCTGAAATGCAACCTGTTTTTAATGATATGCTTCTCTTTCTTTTATAAACAGAATATGCTTCTCTGGGATCACTCTATGATTACATTAACAGTAACAGAAGTGAAGAGATGGACATGGATCACATTATGACCTGGGCAACCGATGTAGCCAAAGGTGGTGATGCTTCATTGCGTTCTCACAGAATATACAGGGAGCATTTCCCATTCTGAGATTGAAACTATGTCAGAACGTTTGTTATTCTGTGTCTTCACATGTTCTTTTTTCAGACTACAAGTAGTTAGACTTCTGTAGTTTACTGTACAGATAATATGATAGGTCATTACCATCCCACTTCTGCATTCTTTTTCCCTTTTTCCTTTCTCTCTTTCTTTCTCTAAAATCAAGTTCTGACAGAATCAGCGAACTCCAGAGCAGGAGTTTTGCATGTTTTGTGATACTGTAATTGACTAGAATTATGAAAAGATCATAATTCTGTTGTTGTTCTGCAAATCTCTACTTAGGCTCACAACCCAGAAAAAGTGATTTATTATAAGATTAGTTCTGCTCATTTTGTAAACATAATAATACGTGTGATTTTTTCCTGTCATATAAAAGTAATTCAGATTTTATTTCATACTTAATATAAACTTGAAAATTAAATAATTATAATATACAGAATCCCTAAAGTAGTAGCCAGCAAGGTGTCCAGTTCTTTTTCCCTCATACAGTCCTAAACTGCTTTCTAAAGTAATCCAAATTCCGTTTATTTTTATCTTTCTTTTTTTCCATTTTCCTAACTGAACATTTCTGAGTCTTATTTATAAATAACTGTCAAAGTTGCTTTGGAAACAACTTGATATAAATAATGAATACTGGTTGTTACATCTGTATTCTAGCAACCCCTGTAAAGCAAGTGTGTCCCAATTTTACTGGGGTAATTACAGTAATTCCTTTGCATTTTCCCACTTGCTCTCTACAAGCATGTCTTTACAAAGCAAATACAATAATATTTAAGTACTTAGTAAGGGGAGCAACTTTCACTGAGAAGTCAAAGTTCCTTTGGAGAATTATCCTGCCTATCTACTTTGTTTATCAACACTGACAAATTCTTCAAATAAGGAAAATGAAAAATGAAAAAAAAAAAAAAGTTCCATACTAGGTGCCATGATGAATAACACTTCATAACCTTATAAGAATAATAAACTATGTTTGGGAAAGTGTACTTAAGGCTTTGGCTGTGTTAATTAACTTAATTGTGTATTCATATATCATACATCTCAAATCAGCCTTAAAATTTTATATTCTTCAGGAATTTTCATGTAACATCTTAGTCACTTCATTTCAGTAGTACACAGGGACCACCAGTTTATGAGCAAGGTGATGTGCTGTGAAGTACTATGAAGCACTGTAGAAATAAACTCATATTAATGTATATGCATGTACAGGCAGTCTTGACTTACAGCACTTCACCTTGCAGACATCTGCATTTCGGGTGCTTAGTCAAGTATACCCATGTTATTACTTCATGGCACTTAGGACAGATAGACAGCAAACAAATCAACTGACACCAGTCACTCTCCTTCCTGCTGGGCTCTACTGAAGCTTTCCTGGTTCCATCTTGCAAACCTCTTTTCTCCTGGCCTGGTCCTCAAATGCTCCTTGTCGGAAGGGCAAGTATTTTTGAGTCCAGATCAGTTCAGTCATTCTCTGGGGCTTGTCCAGAGCATGGGCACACTGTATCTGAAGGATAAGGAAGAGAAGGAGCAGAAGGAAGTACCAAACTAGAAGGAGACGTAAGGGAAAGACTAGGGAAGGACAATATGGGAGTCGCCCATGGGACAGTGTCTAAACTACAGGGTAATAAAATCACTTTTGTATGGCTGGTTTTAACATGTTTGACCTCAGGTGAGAAGAGTGAGATAGAAAAGAGGCTTGTTTATTTATAATCACAAGTAATATTTAACATTTAAAAATTCTTTAAAATGTGCTAAAAAGAGAGGAGAAAAAAAAAAACAGTGCTTTAGCAATGGCTTCAAACTACTCTGATAGCTATGTGTAGACTTTGCAGGTCAAATAGGTAGACTTGATTTTATTGACTCTGTTTCAAACTTAGCTGTGTGCCTTTCAATTTGACCATGATTAAAGCCACTCTTTGAGACTTTTTGACACTGAAGCAATAATATATTGAGAAATCAAAGAATGAAAAATTCATTTCAAGTCAGAGTTGATTCATGCATTTTGAAAGAGGAGTTACTTAATATCATTGCTGCCCTGAGAATACTTCCTCAAAGCAAAAAAAAAAAAGATCCTCTAAATTCTGCATGGAAAGAAGGCAGGGAAGGCCAACATATAGATCTGAAATTGCTATAAGCAATTCAGCAGTGAATAAACCAAAACCAAACTCACTGCCATCAAGTCGATTTCGACTCATAGCGACCCCTCCTTGGGTGTCCAGGCCATATCACTATGAATATAAGGAACCAGTCAAACTTTTATTCACTGCTAAGGAGCTCTGGTGGCATAGTGCCTAAGGCATTTGACTGCTAACCAGAAGGCTGGCGGTTCAAACCC